AACCTAGCTAAAATAAATTTCTAAATGACATAATCAAGTGTAAAATAAGCACCCATTCATGTCAAACACACTTACCTGGAATCACCTGGGAGAAGCTCATCACAAACACCTGAGCCCCCAGAGCCACAGGCAAGAGCATCCAACTGTGGGTCATAACTCTGCAGGGTTTCAGATCAAACATACACTTCAAAAGGCTTCTGCATCACGAAAAAGGGCCAGAATTAACAGGATGTTCCAGACCTGTTTGGGATGAAGACACACTCACATACTGTAGATACCGATACCTCAAAGAATTGCTTATTCCTCATCCACACAGTTTGCTTGTGGATTATTAAATGAGGGAGGCAGCACTCCCGCTTGCAACAGTATGAATGGTGTTAATGAAAAAGAAACACAGCTTGATACAATAATATGAGCTGTAAAGTTTAATCAAACCAATAAATAAATGCTCTGACAAGTATAAAATAATATTGGTGGCAGAAAGACTAACCACAGTGAAGCTGTCTGGAGCTACAATGTTGACTACAGACTTAAAGTCATCTTTAATGTGCTCCAAAGTGAACACATTTAAAGTTAGATTAAACACTCTTGTATTACTGTGCCTTTGACTGATTCATCTCTCTTCTGCACTGTTAATTCATTTATTAAAGTCCGAGTTCATCGTGTATGTTTATAGTTGTCAGGCTTGTGTTCAACCCCCTGTGGGGATAGTGGGGGCCGTGAGTCTCTGGCATCAGGTTCGGCGACAGAGGGGTAACATTGGGTCAATTGTCCAGGGGCCGGAGCAATACACATGGTGGGGCTGTCTGGCATCATTATATCGGGTGTCGCAAACTGAAAACTTTGAGCTTTGGCTTGGCTCGTCTCTATGACATGACTCGGGGTGGACATTTCTCAGACATTTCTGAGATATTTCTCCGCTCTCGGCTGAGATGGACGGCGTAGGGCTGCAACACATATCTTGTTTCATCATAGACATTCATTTAAAAATGTTAAATGCTAATGGTAAAATGGATGTGCATTCATATAGTGCCTTTCTAGTCTTCCAACCGCTCAAAATGATTTACACTACTTGTCAACATACACACACACACACACACACACACACACACACACACACGCGCGTTCATTAATTGATGGCAGAGGCTGCCATGCAAGGTGCCACCTGCCCATCAGGATGTGAACTAAATATGAATTTACGCACACTCTCACACAGCAATGGCATTTTGGGAATAATTTGGGGTTCAGTATCTTGCCCAAGGACACTTATTAGATATACGGAGTAGAAGCCGGGTATCAACCCCCCCGATCTTCCGCTTAGAGGACAAACAGCGTCTGTTGTTTTTACATTATTGTTGTTTACCATGATTTGTAATCAATAAGAAGCATTTTCTAAAATGTTTGGTATGTTTTATAGGTATGTTTGTTAAAAAAAAAAAAAAACATAAATATTCAAATACAAAAATTAAAAACCAAGGTTATTTTAAAGAAACATTTGTGTTTGTCTTCCTGGCCTGGTTAGTGAATTGCTGATGCTACCCATGAAGCCCACTGAGACGTGTGTGTGTGTGTGTGTGTGTGTGTGTGTGTGTGTGTGTGTGTGTGTTTGTGTATATGTGTGTGTCTGTGTGTGATATTCAGGTTATATTTAGAGAGAAATAACACCTTCTTTGTTCAAAGTAACTGGCTGAAAAAGGAGTGGATCCTATCTGTATGGGCCTTGACAGTCTTCGTTTAATGGAGAGTTTTCATCCCACGGTGAGACATGACCAGTGAAGCAGCCTCCTGTCATGGCCTTCATTGACCTTGATCCCAGCCTGCCCAGGAAGCCCCATTATCCTCCCTGCATCCCTCCTGGAAGCTTCTGCTGATCGGTAAATGCCACAAGTTCCACTCCCTGCTGTCTGTGGGAGCTCTCACCATAGGAGGAGAACGGAGAGGAGGAGAGCAGAGGAAGAAGACGAGACTCTTTTCTTTCTTTCTCACTCCTCTCTCAGGAGGAAACTTAATGTTGACACTCCACTTTCACTGCTGTGAGGCAAATCCATTAGACCATTTCAAGTCTTGGAGCTCAATGAAACAGCTCCAGTGACAGAATTAAGCAGGCTGTCAATAGTACAAAGGCTTCACCATTTTGCTGATCTTCGAAAGAACACTCTTTCAGCAGGCATCCTCCTCAAGTTGTATTGGTTGTGCATGGCACCCCCAAACTCTCATTACACGGTGCTACTTTGTCGCCACAATGTTAACGAGAGAAATTGCTGCAGTTCTAAACTGAAGCATTATTCCTGTCTTGTCTCAGCCACCAGGGACAGCTTATGAATTAATGAGATGTCAGCAGAGATGTCATGTCTTTATTCACTCAATCTCTCCAAAAGAAAAAAAAACACCTCCATGGAGGAATTGATATAACGTGGCACCATGATTCTTGTCTGTCTCTGGTGCTTGACTCAGGGGGCCCATCTTTAAAAGTGCTCGCTCCTTCTGTGTTGTTACGGCAGATATACATCCTCAGTAAAAGAAACGGGAAGGAATCAGTGGATCCCAATTATTTTGGTATCAGAATCGACTAAATCCCTTCGATTGGATTTGGTTTAACGTGTAGCAGCTCTTTGTATAGTTGTTGAGAGGGTTTGTTGTTATTTTAGCCATAGAGCCTGCTGTGTGTGGCTAGACAACCTGGCCTACTTGGTTGTTGTTTGTTGCATGTCTTTCCTTATAATTATGGCTTGTTTAACCTTCATGAGTCCACAATGGACTCGCTGTTGATGCTCAATGTGCATGTATGTATGCTCTATTGGTCCCAAGGCTAGCTTATTTAATTAACAGTATGTCTCAGACAGATTTTCTTAGCTTAAATGTTTAAAGTCGAGATGAAATAAAAAATGCATTTGTAACTCGTTAGGATCATATCCACTGTCATATTGTGCACCTATTTCACAATACAGTATATGCCAATTTTTTTTACAAATGTATTTTGATACTAAAATCCAGTCAACTTTTCTTCCTGCAAAACAAAATATAAAGTACACTTAGGTAAGCTACTACCAACCAATTTCAACCAATAATATCATGACATCCATGCATAAGTCAATCTGCAACGAGGGACGAGGGAGGTGTGTGTGAAGCCACAGTCCTCTGTAGCTTCGCACTGTGCTACACTCCCGCCCACTTGTAAATGTACAACGCTTAAATATTCAGTTTTTGCTGGGTAATACTCACAGTACATAAATTAACTTCCATTCAGTGTGACTTTAAGTTGTTTTATTGCTGATATTTAACAGGAAGGTTGAGAAAAGGAAAATTAAGAGGCGCTGGTAGGACAATTCCTAACATGTTAGTGAACTTTAGAGGTGTCGGTCAATAGAATTTGTTATCGTTGGACATAGCCAGGCTAGCTACAGAGGTGGTATCGATCTTCTAACTCTCAGCAAGAAAAAAAGCTAAGGTATTTCCCAAAATGTCGAAATTTTCTTTTAAAGCGCTGTTCAGAGCACACCTGTCTGTTATTTGAGTAATGTAGCATGTATTAGAGATGGCAATGTTGGTTGGTCAGTCCACTTCTTTGGTCGAGACTCCTGACTGAAATATCTCCACTACTAAGCGACTGAATGGATCAAGTCAAAATGTATTGATGTCCAATACTTTGTTTCGGTGGTAATTAGCAAATATTGGTCAACACGCTAACCTGAGATGGGGAACATGGTAAACATTATATCTGCTAAACATCAACATTCTAGTATTATCATTGAGGGAATGTTAGCATGCTGGCATTAGCATTTAGCTAGTCTACAGCATAGCTCTTAGTCTTGTTGAAAACTTCTTCATGATATTAGTTGATGTGAAAAAAATAAACCAGGACACCTTCTCCTAATCTCCAGTATGAACCTCCGTGTCTGTTTACATTGCCAGGTGAGGAGGTGCTCTAGGCTATGTGCTTTGCCAGCAAAACATTATGTAGTGTGCTGTACCTTAGAAGCAGCAAATTACTAACAACCCTTCAGAGGTTGCTCTCTACTCAGTTTCCTTCAGCCCTGTGACTTCCTTAGCGCTTATGTCAAGGCTTTATGGAACAATTCCATTGTAATTAATTTCCTTTCTGAGCCAGCAAAGGTGGGTGTAACTCCAACATTTCATCATGTAATGTCAGTCAAAATTGTTCATGAAAGAGGTGGCTTGATCTTTGTGTCTTATGTATATCAAGAGTAAGCTCATCCTTTAGGCTGCCTGGATCTATTTTAGTCCATCCGCACAAATGCATTTGCATTGCAGAAATATATTCGGTCAGGATTAGCAGCACTTCGCCGGGAGGGTATTAGCTGTGTGTAGTAAGCAGACCACCTACTGATTATGACTGTGTGCCCATTGACGGATGTTGTGTTTGGTGGCATCAAAATAAGATGCAGGATTATCTGGCCATGGTTGCTCCCCTTCCTGGCTGAATCAGTCGTAGAATAACCTGCTGGTCTCAAAGTGACACAAAATAATATTCATCCAAACAGTTCAACTTCGTAGTTAAAAGACTTTGACACTTTTCTGTTCAAAACTTTTCTTGTAAATCCTGAATATATTTGGAAAGTTCTTCTACAATGACAGCCACTTTGGCAAACACCTCCACTCATCTTTCAGCTGTCCTGGTATTTTCTATAAATATAATTGGCTGATATACCCAAGTGTTTTGGGACCCATCTGCCAACGTGGCTAAGGGATAGAATAAATTGTTTTCTGCCTCTGTTTTTCATGCTGCTACAGGAATTGTATTGATGCCTTGTATTAATGCCATGTCATTCTTTTAAAATGTTCCTGACCCTGGTTGCGGTCTGCTGTGCATCATGGGAGATTAAGGTGATGCAAACTCTCTCTCTCTCTCTCTCTCTCTCTCTCTCTCTCTCTCTCTCTCTCAGCTAAAGAAAATCCCCTTCAAGGTCAAGTTAAGATCAACATTTATTGAACAGAACAAGGACCTACAATTTTGCCTTTCCCCAATAATGTTTCAGTCACGGCTCAATGAATGTATTCATGAGCTAACCACATTAAGGAGTGGAATTTCATTCCATAAAACAGTGTGAAGCTAAACTTGCTGCTGAATATCGCAGGTGCAAACAAGGGAAACAAATTGAAATTTCTTTAAAAATGAGTAAACGATAAAAGTTTGCATGTAAGATGTTGTATGGGAGTTGCAGTGTAAATGAACTACATAAGATATTCAGAGCATTAATATAGCAGCAAACAACTATTTTCTATGTAAAGATATAGTGGAGTAATGTATACCTGAGCAGAGAAAGAAGGCACTCTCCATCTGTGTGTTATCTCAGCTTCTCTGTGCTATGTGTGTAAGCCGGTGTGGCTGTACGTCCATGTTAGTGCATGTGAATCCCTGTGTGTGTGTCCCACTGCCTTCCTAATCGCCACCACTGCACTAGCGCAAAGCCCACACCCTCTGGTTCTCCCTCAGGGGAACACTGTTAGCTCTGTCAGTACGGCTGTCGCTGTTAGCACCGCCGGCTCAGCCATCTCCATGTTGAGAGCCATGTGGATGCAATCCTGGCTCAGAATCCCCTTTAAGTTGAGGTAATTATATAAGTTGAAGTGTCAGATGAATTTGAGGTACGGAAAAAGTTGATAGTGTCTGTTGGAATGGGAAGAGTTGAAAGCAGTTGAAATTTTAGTTTTAAATTGAAGCCCGGTAGTCGGTTGAATTTTCAGTGTTGTATCTGAACATTGAAAGCGGTTGAACTACACATGAAAGAGTAAGCTATGAGAGTTGCTAACATGTCGGATGAACAACAATGAAAGCAATTTAAAGCAATCAAAATTGCAGTTGAAATGTATGTACTCTAAACAATCAAAGTAGTCTATCCATTAAGCACTGACACCAGACAGTTGAAAAATAAAAATCAGTTGAAGTGTCAGTTGACATGTTGATGCTGAAAGTAGCTTAGGAAGTCAGTTGAAGAAGAAGTTCTCAAAGCAGTTGAATTATTGTTTAAAGTATTAAGAATGCAATTCCTCCTGAGCCAAACAAAGTCCACTGTGAGGTTTCTAAAGAGCAGTTTGAGCAGTTGAAGCTCAGTTAAATTTGAGTATTATTGAATTATTGAAGTGTAAAAGTTGACAGCTGTTGTAGTTTTATGTTGATGCGCTGTATGCAAATGAATTGTCCGTTTGTATGTAAACACTCCCGCAGAAAGCTAACTAAACTAATTCAGGCATAAGTCAAACCTGCGAAGACCTACAACTTCATCTTTCCCCAGTAATATTTCAGTCAAAGGTCAATAAATTTATTCAAAAGAAATGTGGTGTTTATGAGCAGAAATTATTCGGCACAACATGACTTAGAGGTTTTCTTGATAAAGAAAATATGAGTTGAAAAACAAAGATAACAGCTGCACACTGTGAGGAGCTTTTCTAAAGTGTCTCATGGTGAGGAAAGAAAGGCGTTCTAATAGCAGCAGAACAAATCGTGTTGTTCTGATTTATTTTTCTTTCACCACTTGACGCTTGAGTGTAAGGGATTAAGTGTCTCATTTAGATGCAGGAACAGCCCCATCTCTTCAATGCTAATGTTTGGTGCTCCAGCAACAGGTCAACTGAGCTGAACCTCAGCTGAGCTCGAATTGCTGTAGTTTTAGTTTAGGCTGCTCTCCGTTGAACTGAGCCATTGAAAGGCTGATATGACGAAGCACTTTTCCCCTTTGACAACCTCGCTGTCTTTAGTGCACGGCACTGCATCTCACAGCAGCAACAACAAAGCAGGGAGTGGGTTATCTTCTGCAGTCAGCTTAAAAAGAGTCAGAGCACACAAACACACAGAGACCCACACAGTTTCATCTCTTTTCTCGAGCGCCCTCTTTGTGACCTTCACTGCCTTTGGATATTTCACTTATCTGGCAGTTAGCTTTCTGTCTTTACTCTTTGACCATGGTAAAAATGTACTATCTGATCTCCAGCACCCGCTCGCTCTGCATCACCTTTCCCAGTGCTCTCACAGCTTCACATGTTTCGATACACATAACCAAAGCCAGGAATGCACTGTGACATTAAGTATCACAATTTTATTACAAAAATTAAATTTTTGATCTCTCAGTTTTGCCATGCTTGGAGCATATAACAATACAGTAAAAAACCCAGACCCAGAGAAGATAGTAAAGCAGATTTCAACAATGCTTTCACAGCACTCTGTCATTCATGCTGTTACTATACACATACTGTAACATTCCTAATACAGAGTAGTACAAACACCTGCCGAAACACGTCATGTCAGATAACAAACTGTAATTAAATAACATTTACCAAGAAACAAGAAACTAAACCCAGCTCAGAAAGGATAACATAAACCAGTAAACATTGAATTTGCAACTTAAAACATATTGAATGTGCTGAATATTTGTACCAGCCCAAGGCACCCAGGCTTTGTAGCAATGTTGGCAAGTTAACGACATTCTTACACTTGAAGCTAAACAACAATTACAAATTGACTTGTACCAAAGCCTGACTTTGCAATGTCCTTCAACATACCCTCCTCTCTTGGCAATCTCTTAGTCAGTCACAGTGCAAGTTCCGGAGGGGCAGGGCAGAATGAAGGAGAGGTAGGGGGGGGGGGGGGTCGCAGGGAGCAGTACTGCGCCAGACATCACTTCACACCGCCAAACACTGATAAGAATTGGATGGACAGCGTAATCTCCCACTTTCCAGAGGGAAGGGGGTGGGAGCGGTTATGTAATTCCTCTCTTGGATTGTGAATTGTCCAAACGTAAGGCGCAGATTGCCAGCTGCCAGTCCAAGTCGAAATAAGCCAAACGAAAAGCTTAGGTGTGCTTTCAACTGAACGTCCAAGAAAAAAAATTAGAAACAGATACCGAAACAAATACCACTACTTTCTCTCTGAGGTTTACATGATGAATTCTGTTTTTTTTCCTCAAGATGAAAAGTGTTGTTTTGCACATAATATATCTAAGAACGATAGAAATCCCAGATTTAAGCTTACCAACAACTCAAATAGTCTCTAACAAACGTCAAATGAAGACATGAACGACAAAAGCTCAGAAACACAGAGTGGACTTTCTTGGACGGTGAAATTGCAGTTCAGTTGAGCGAACGGCAAGGCTCGAAGGTCCATTTGGTCGCTCCGCCAAATATTTCGATGTTGCTCTCTGTCCAGGAGAAGACGTTGCCAGCCGACGGTTTGCTGTTGCAGGTCGCCAAGTTGTAGATCTCTGTGACAGAAAGTTTCCTATTCCAGATGTTCAAGTTTGCTAGTTCACCGACGAAAGCTTGTGTCGCATCAAAGCCTCCTCCCAACGTGTCCTGTCAAACAATGCAGACAAGTGTCAATCGTCACCACTTCAAGTGCACATCAAAGTGTTAGTTAAGTGGTCAGAGAAGTTGGAACAACTCCACACTTTGTCCTTTGGAGACGTCTTAGATGTATGTGCATTTGAGCAGAGGACTAAATATGATCACATTTTATTATAAGTAGCCTCAACTGAGAGAACTTTTGTTCTTAGATTAGTTAAAAAATTTGTTTTTAATTTTGATTTTACTGAACTCCAGTCTGGGAAACATTTAATTTATGTTTGCATACATGATATCATTTTATTTAGCAGTGTCATTTGGCAGAATGCTTGATTATATACAGGTCTCTTCATAGATATGTCTTGCTCTGTGCAACAAAGGGATTTTCTCTGTAAAATCTCAAATGTTTCCCTGTCAATATTCAGACCAAATGACTGAAGTACTGTTATTTTTTCCAATCCTGGGATGATCTTTTTCGAAATTGATTTGAAAGCCTCAATGGCAACCTCTTCAATGTCTTCACAGTCTCATTTCATAAACATTCTAACAATCTTTGTCCAAAATGAAATGCATAATTGTCAGGATTATTTCCAAATTTGTGAGGGATTAAAGTGCAAAAGTTGCAATTGCTGATTTGAAAATGAATATCCACCTGCTCTTGTCCCAGGACCAGCACTCCCTCTGGTTTGATGGGATGGTACGGTGCCAGATTTTCTCCGCTCCCCCGCATCACTCCATCCTGGAAGGCTTCCCACATCCCGTCACGGGTGGTCCACGTGATGCAGAGGTGATGCCATTTCCCATCATTGATGAGGAACGGCAGCTTTGCAACCTGCAGCAGAGACATTGCAACAAAAATAATCACATCTTTCTCTACATTTCACACTTAAGTAGCAGAATCAAAAACGCATCGCTTCCACACCTTCTCTTAGTTACTTCCTCAGTCACACATCGTTTCCTCTATAATAAGGAGACACCTCAGCGTCTATTTTTATTCCATTTCCTTCTGGCGCATGAGAAGTTGTCTGGTTACTCTGAGTCATCCCAGCACAAAGTATTGTAACTTTTTCCTACTGTTGCACCCACTGTAATTTATTCTGAATATTTACAAGATACATGTAAATGTGAAAAGCCATTATGACGCCCTGCAAATGTAAACAATGTGTGAAATCCATCTTTATCCATGATAATCACTTTTCCATTACCTTGTCATTGATAAGGATCTCCATAGGGTTGGTCCCCCACTCGATCAGCACCAGCTCGTTGGCCTGACCCGGGACAGCGTAGGAGAAGGATGTCCCCACGCCAGGCGAGGCGTTGGACTTGATCCACAGACACACGCTGAAGGAGTACATCTCAGGAAGGCTCTTCTTGGCTTTGGCGTACATGTAGTTGGTTCTCAGGGGAAAGGTGAGCTGAAACGTATCTGTCGGCCTGCTGTCTTTACCTGTAGATGCCAGTTATTATAGAGGATAAGTGATAAACCCACATATGGTTTTACATGAAGTCATGATGACGATTAAGGGATTTATATGATTAATGGAAGAAATTAAAAAAAAAAAAAGCTTGTCTTTGTACCATTTTAAAATTACAACCATCGCTAATTAAAGATGAAACACTGTTTTCAATGATTTTCGGTCTTTTGCTTGTGTATTTGGGCTCTGTCTCCCGGCTCTCTCCTGCATACAACGTACGCACCCACATTTGTAAGTGTTGAAAAGCGCCAATGCGAGGTGCACCCTGCAAAGTTTCTCTGCCTATGACCTCTGCATTTGCAATAAGGATCCCATGCAAGTTAGGTGCTCTGGTTTTGCCTTTGAAAAACATAAACTCAGCGAAGCAAAGTGCTAACAGGTCTTGAGATATGCAAAGCAATGCAGCTCTCCTCTCCTCCCTCACACACACTCTGTGCGCAACGTGATGATTGCGGCATTGTGAACGCTTCCACAACATGAGTGCTGTGATACTGAAGATTTCAGTTTTTTTCGAAAGACTTAGGCGCCCTTGAGCTTAAAAACCAATTAAATTATACCTAATCTTGTTTAGAGCTCCCGTCGAGTGCAAAGTGGAAGTCTTGTGCGCGCACAATTCAAACGCACCTTTCTCCAGGTCTGTGATCCGATGGTGCAGAGTGGTGAGCGTGGACTCCACTCTGTTCCGCTGATCGGTGTCATTCCTGGCGCCGGGTTTGGTCTCCTCTATCGTGTTGACCCGGGACAAAACCTGCTTCTCCATGTCGTCTATCTTGTTTTGGAGCAGATCTTTCAGACTGTTCGCTTGCACGGTGTTGTTCCCTCGGCTGTACTGCTGCATCGGACAGAGGGAGACAGACACTGGGTTAAAAGGGCACAATGAATACTTTCTGTGGTGTTAAAACTCCCTGAAATATGTTCCGCGTGTGAAGCCTTCAGTCTGGTCCCACTGCACTGCCTGTTTATGTGCAGCTCTGCGCCACATTATTCAAAAGGATGCTGGTTTACTTTCCATGATGCTTCTTTCTCACTGTCAATTAAAAGATTAACTAAAACACATGTGGCTCCAAGCAGGAACTTCACACAGCCAGAAAAATATTGCAGCAGTATATTAGAGGCTTAACCCTCATGCAGATGAACAACCGGGGAAGCAATAATTTAATTAACTTTTGACCTGCTGCGCTGCTCTCCTCTGCTTGCCTACCTCGAGATTCTCCAGTCTCTGTTTCAACGTCTGTAAAGTATGTCCCAGCTGGGTCAGAGTGTCCGTGGTGCCCCGGGATACATCCCCCATCGTGTTCTTCGACCCTGGCCGTCTCCCACCGGGTCCCGCCGCCGGGAGGCTCTGGCTCTCGCAGCGGCTCAACTTGGACGTTAGTTCCCTGATTGTCTCCTTTTGGTTCATAATTGTCTCTTTTTGCTGTAGCACGGTCTCCCGCAGCTGCATGACCGTAGTCTTCAGGTCCTCCGCCGGACCGCTGTTCTGCATCGTGGCCGCGCACAAGTCCATATCCTTGGGCACCGACGTGCAAATAAACTGTGTCTGTCCGAAGTCTTGCGCAGAGCTCTCCACAACAACCAGGCAAGAAAGTAGAAAAAGTTTCCACGAGAATCCGTCCATGGTTCCAGTCATGTCTCGCGGCTTAAGAGAGAGTGGGTGAGTGAGTGGTCGTTCTGAGATGTCAGCACCACGGAGCTGTCCACTGAAGCTGTGAGCTCCGGTCGCTGTGTGCAGTTTATATAGCGGACATAACGCAGAGCAGATTCACTGCATCACTGAGGGGAGGCAGCGGGTTCTGCTGTACCTACATAGTCCAGCCCCTTATTTAAGGTCGTCCTCACTGTTTGCAAAGCACCCAAGCAGTCAGTCTCTACAGTGACAGAGATATTCTGTATAGTTGAGTCCTAAAATTCATATTTGGCTGCACACAACGTTTTTGTAAGTTAAAAGCAGGCCCCTAGAGTTATAAAAAGTTATTATTTGGAAATTACACCGAAATCACTTTAATATGATGAAATTAAGTTGAAAGGGCCCCAGTCTAAATGACTTGATGGATGCCTAATAGTTTAGAAGCTGATCTTGTATGTAAATCATTCCCCAAAATATGGAAAGTAGCGAGAACTGTTAAATTGGATGGAATTAAGTTTTTGTTGAGTGTGATATTTCTTTTTGAAATGTAGAGGAGTGTAAAAGCCTAAAGTAGCCACTCAGCATACAAATATAAACGCTCAAGGCACCTCAAAATTGTACTGTGTACATTTTGAAATAAGAAGTGAAAAGTAGAATTCTTGAACAATAAAAATGTCCACTTGTTGGATTCAATACACTCAGAGGATTTACTGCTACAGCCGTGGTCTGGTAGGCTGTAACTTATGGTGGCTAATGTTAGCCACCTTTAAAGTTTTGGTATATCCTAAATATTGCTCCTAACTCAACTCAGTTTACGATCAGAACTTTTACCATCATCAGGTACAGTAATTGACCCTTGGCTAAGCCCCGCCCCTCGCTGGTACTCCGTCAAGCTGTCAGAGTTACCATAGAGCCCACACTGGCATGAACAGCACTCCCGGAATAAATATTATCTCCATTTTGGAACATTATTCACCGTTAGAATCATTTAAAGCTAAAGCAGCATATACATGCAGAATACATAACTTCAGTAGCTAGTGCAGCATAGAAGTCAGTCTGGATCACTTTAAGTAGGCTATTAGGCGTACTTGAGTACATGTTTATTGAGTTTCTGAGTTTTCTAGTTTATATGACACATTTGGTTAATTTAAATGATTTGGTGAAATTATTGGTCCACCTTAAATGAAATCCAATCCCCATCCTCCAATGAAGCCTGTCCCATGGTCGGACTCCCCATTATCATCTCTCTCTCTCTCTCTCTCTCTCTCTCTCTCTCTCTCTTTTCGGCTCCACTCATAAGTCTTTGAATGTATAGACTTGTGTGATGTCTTCCACACTTTTGAGTGCAGCAGTGAAAGGTGTTGATTGTCAAAGAAGAACCAACTCTGTAACGCAGTGCACGCAGCCTTATAGAGATGCTTTGCCCTGGTAGAAACCATTACAAGACAGAGGCGCTAAAAGGAAAGAGAAATGTTTCCAAATAACTAAACAGACTGTTATGTAACTACCCCTGCGGCTCTCGCATTAATAAATAAGACAGAATACACAGCGAGGGAAAGGTGGCAACACTCTGACATATATCATGTTGGGATAACAAATCACCAAAGATGGCAGTGATGTAGGAAGGACACACAGTTGCGTGGAAACAGTTTGACCTAAAGTGAAGTGGATATGAACTTCAGTAAGACTTTTTTACCATTGCAGTGCAGGGTAAGGAAAGGGCAACAAAAAAAAACAGAAATTAGTAATCATCTCTGAAATAAAACATTTTATGGTGCATTCAGGTCCAAAGTTTCCCCTGAAGCAGTATCTAAGACAGCAACTAAGACTAATGGTAAGAAACTAAATGTATATCTGCAATACAAGATGCTTTCCCCCAGATTTTCTTAAATCTTTTCACTCTGTGAAATACTGAGAGCCGGCTGTATTAGCAGTAAAGAGTGCTGCAGGGATGAAGTATATTTGCAGCCCAATCCGGAAGTTAGTGTCGCCCTGCTTCCCTCAACAAAAGGATTATTAGCTCTGCGGCAAACACAAGTTTATGATACTTACACGTACTTACACATGCTTACATAATCTTCACAAATGAACACCGCTCTTACTACACCATGGTCGCATGACTTCAACGTCACCACGACTAAGTTAAAAACAGACTAGGGGTCGTCATGATGATGTATAGTAGTCTCATTTAGACACTTGTTAGCAACCTTCTTTTTAATACACATAAAAGCTTCACAATTCACCAGAGGGGTATTTACTGAACAAAACAGTAAAACCACAGATCTTATTTCAGGCATCTAACCAAAAACCCATTCAAAGAACCCACTGACTTTGAGTAAAGAGAACAGAAGTAAAATTGCTGACTCATTTCCAGGTTTAGGACTTATTCGCAGCATTCTATATGTGAATGCTCAGGGGTGGGGGCCACAAATGAGGGAAGAAAACGCATAACTTTACTCATACTATTGAATTACAATCATTTAGAAATATTTTTAAAAAATCCACAACATAACTATGTAGCTAATTAAATAGGACCCATAGCCCAAAGCATCACCGATGCAAGTTCACCAGCTAAATATAGGGCACAAAAACAAAAACGTCTTTAAATTACAGTATAGGTGAAATGTGTGATGTCTTTTCTTTTCAACCAGTTACATTTTTCAAATTAGGTACAGGTAAGACATTTTGGACTTGTTATGGAGTTATAAAACCCCATAAACTCTCCACATTTATTTATTTTTTTGTGTATTCTTGTTACTTGAATCCTTATATGTAAAAAAGTAGCTTAGAAAATGCAGAAATTGTGTCGTGAGTGTCGTCCATTGTCTTTTTCCATTTCTGCCAGTAACAGCAGACCAGGTTAACAGTGCCCAAAGTGTGCAGTGCTTGTCCGAGAATGGCGTCTTTACATAAAAGTCCTAGGTTTAATTTTAAAGCCAACTGAAGGGTTACCGCCTGCTTTGAGACACATTACGTCTCCCTCCTTGTCGCATCAGTGTGGCGGAGTGCTGCGTAGAACTGTCATCAAATATAACCCTGCAAACAAGTGTGCAGTCCAAACATTTTAGCAAGCCTTTCTTTTTGTACTGTTTTTTTTAGTTGTGCATGACGTCGCTGCAGCCAGTGGCTAAAATGGGATGAAAATTGACCCAGCAGTCCGCTTTAATTTGTTTAATTATCGATCCAGCGTGTTGTAATCAGCAAGGTGCCAAGCTGAAGGCGAGAAACAGCGGATATAACAAATGATTAACGGCAGAGCGTAATTGCTGGGGCCCAAAACAGGCATGTAACACATTTTCCTTATCTCAGCACATGACCATTAAAAACTGTAGTCCGAACAGATTAACAAGCAAAGCAGACAAACAGTGATACAGTGCTTGTTTAGCAAATGGAGCAGTTTTCAATGCTTTGATGCAGAATGTAATGTTAATGATCAAGCTTAGCAGTGGGAGACAGCCCACCTTTAGGGTTGTAATGGAGTATGTTTATTCCGCGGTTATGCGGACGGTTTTCATAGCGTGTACATTTGCTCATCTACGGTAGTAATAAAAAAGGGACATAAGTGAGTGTGTGTGAGTTAACGGTGCAGACAGGAGCAGTGTGGCTGCGCTATCACGCACCTACAGTACATGTTAATTGTTAATAAACATAGGACATTATTTTAAAAGCTCACAGCTGATGTCATTTTTTATTTAGTAGTTAATTTAACAGATAGTGCTGCTTACACGTAAACTGCTTCAATCCTTCAAGGATCACTCTAACTAATAATAATAATAATGATAATAATAATAATTACATCAAATACCATGAAACCATGATACTCTCTGAGACAACTATCGCACCGTGCAAATCGCATACCCTTACAACCCTACCTCCGATACAGACAGTAAGGGATGAGCAGCTGCCAGATTCAGTATATCAATTCAATATTCATCTCCCATACGACTCATAAAAGAGTGCTGCACAACTGTATGTTCAGCCATGTTCTCTCACACTATGTTGGTGCCAGTTAGTCTGCTATTTCACATCCAACTCTGACGGAACTTTGGAAACGGGGGCACTGTTGCAGGCATATTGTTGACTTTGTTATTAACGAACCCCTTCTGTCTTTCTGAAGGCAAAGTATGCTGGTGGGACTTCATCGTTTTTTTAGTCATACTCTGGTATGTTCTGCTCATTGTTCTGCTCAATTCACACGCAGTCTCGAGTTGACCCCTACCTTCTCACTCAGCGTGTTTGGAGTGCAAGGTCAGATCTACTGTAGGCATGCATCAGCCAGCAGGCAGAGCTGGACTCTAGGGGCTGGTGTGGAAAAGGGCTGAAATCCATAATGATCAGTCTCTCAGGCTCACTGAATAATGCAAAGCTTTATAATAGAACCCACTGTCTAATGGCAGAGATACAAAAGGACAATTTCACACACTGGCAGCAAACGGCTTGCTTATTTATTCAGCATCTGAGAAAGAACTTATGTAGTGGTATGGTTTGTCTTCAGATATATCATCACTTTTTTTTTTTTTTTTTAATATTCACTGCTATACCACATTTATACTATACTGTTTTTCAATAATCCAAATCCCATTGTATTCTCTTTTTACAGCTCAGGACAACTGCAGTTTAATTGTTGAACCTACTAACTTGCTTTCTTAATTTTATCTGTCCAGGTTCCACAAAGTAAGCCTTACCTTCCCTCTGCATAAACTTAACTGCTTCAATTCTGACTGCTGAGAATCAAGATGTGCTGCCAGGTAACCAAAGCGTCGGCACAGCAGCTTTGCTGCACTGACGTCTCCATTTCAACCATCCCACAGAGAAGAGATGAAGGGGGAGTCAGGAGGGAGTTGTCCTATGGGACGCCTGCACTGTGGAGCAGTCTGCTGATATGCATGTATTCCCACTGGGGACAGCACTGACAGAGAGGAGGAAGGAAGAGCAGAAAAAGATTAAAATGTATCCATTCATACATGCACACAGACAGTCCTCCAGTCTTATGAGCAGTAGTTTCAACTCAAGTACAAACAAACACAAGCATTGTAAATTACTTCAACGAGGGCCATTATTTCCCTCAACCTGTTCATGTTGTAGATGCGTATGAAGATAACTTCT